TGCTAGGCAGCACGAGTCCAGCTGCCTCAATCAGAGTCAAGGAGTCTTTGATGCTCTGGGTCAGGTGTCTCTACGGAGCATGCTCAGTACCATCTTAACCAACCCCATGGGCATACAGCCTTACATTGACTGACAGGTTGTTGTGTGAAACCCCACCATCCTTTCACAGTGACCTTCCCCTGCTTTTTTATCTCATCCTCTCCATCTTTCTCTCTTTTTCTTTGTCCTATCTTCTCCTGACACTATCTCTGTCTAAAGGCGTTCCAGTCAACAGTCGAGTGTCCTCTAAGATTCAGCAGCTCCTAAACACTCTGAAAAGGCCAAAGAGACCCCCTTTACGAGAGTTCTTTGTTGATGATTTTGAGGAACTTTTGGACGGTAGGTTGATATATCTACAAATATCTAATTCCGCCATGAAACTCTGCTAGCATTCACATAATTTACTAAATGCTGTTTAGTCTCTGCTCAGCTAATGAGCTTGCTTGCTCAACATTTAAATAGTCTGGTTAAGTGTTCGCTGTAATGTAGTCCTGCAGTGTGGTCCTCTGAAACCCTCTACCTCCCCCAGCTCCACCTGTCTAGGAGTGTGTTCCACTTCACTTTTAGATACAAACTCACTTTACCTTGGGGAATTCCCACCGCCATTTTGATCAAGTCAAGTGGTGGGCAAAGGAAGTTTGCATTGACATACCCTCAACCCGAGTCTTTTTATATGAACACTTCAGGCAGCTCCATATACCACAATGCAACATGACTGTGACACACTCCATACGCCATAGCAGATTACAAGCGATCAAGGGCGTTTCAATTCAACCCATTGCAATGGTTCTGCCAGTAGTGGGCACTTGTGCAACATAAGCAATGATGTGTATTCAAGTAAACAAGACAGAGGGACGCTAGCAAGGGAAGTTCATAAAAGGCAAAGTATAACGCACCCTTTATATGCTATAGGATTTCATGATCATGAAATTGAAATTATTTGGCTTACTGAAGAGAGCTGTACTATTACTACTAAACATAGCTTTTTCACTTGGCAGACAATAAAGTTGACACAAAATTGCATATATTGACATTAAAGTAGTGACCTCAGCTAAGATGCTAAGAACAAAATATTGTAGAGACTTGAAATTGAGATCTTTTGTAACGAAACCGCCACATCATGATAGCGAGGACAGACACCAATCACATTTCCTTCAGAGAATGTCAAAATTAGTTTTAGTATTCTGGAGGAACTTTAAAACTTGAGCCATGTCTCACACTCAAGCCCTCCATCGCCATATATATATTTACTTTCATCTCACAAAAGGGTTCTATGAAAACATGAAGGCTTCTATGAAAACAAAAATGTGAATTGGCATTTACACTGACATTGAATATCCTTACTCATAACCTTTTGCTATTTAGTCAAAAACTGCTTTTTTTTAGAAGAAGCTACTGACCCAGGAGACAGGAAAATAACACAAAACAACATATTTGAATAAGGCAGCCATATTAATAATATGAGTCATTTCTGCCTGATGTGTGGTGTGTCACTGTGAAGGGTTGAATGCATCTGGAAATGGCTAGTGAAATTTAACTCAACTTTTCTAAAATAATGTGGTTAATCACAGTTCTTGATTTAACAGGACGGGGCAATTCATTTTTCACGTAGGGCCAGGCAGGTTTGGACAGCTTTTTTCCCTTAATAAATGAAATCATCATTTAACAACTGCATTTTGTATTTACTTGCATTATCTTTGTGTAATATTAAAATTTGTTTGATGATCTGAATATTTTTAAGTGTGACAGACATGCAAAAAATAAAAACAGGAAGGGGCAAAAACCTTTTCACGGCACTGTATATACAGTATATGTGTGTGTGTGTGTGTGTTTTAAATCATTTTAAATCTTAATATTTTCACATCTTCTTCTTTCAAAAACATAAAAATATTTTTGTCAACCCCAAACTTTGAATGGTAGTGCATTAAAAAAAGAAAGAAAGAAACTTTTGTTCAAGGTTCTTTTAAGGTTCTTTATTTGTCACGTACATATTACATACATATTGAGAAAGTGGACCTGTTTACTGAGAGTTTGGAGTGACCTGATCCTGTTTCTGTGGTAACAGTGACTTCTCTGATTGGTCAATCTCAAGTCAGGATTTTATTCAGCAGTTAAAAGGTTTAAAAAGGTTTAAACATTATTACTCAAGTCAATTTCTCAGAAAATTAATGGGATGTTTTATTATATACCTTTGTTTATATTATATATATAATTTGTTTATTTATGCATATAAACATAACATTGTATGCCATACTCAAATTATTCAGCCTTTTATGTGTTCCTGCATTATGGAGATAAACTCTTATTTTATTATTGTTGTTATATACACTGTCCAGTGACAGTACAGTGATCCACAAATTGACAGGTTATTAAAGTTTGAGAACCCCTCTGAATCTATCTCTACTTTCCTTTTTCTCTCTTTGTTCAGTCAGTCATTTCTTACGTTTCTTAAAAATATGCTGAGAAATACACTTTCGTATTCTCTTAGCAGCAGCATCTTCACTTTATATTCTGTCTCTCTCTCTCTTGCTCTCTGCTTTTCTTTCTCTTTCTGTTCCAGACGCACAAAATCAATCAAATCTATTTAAAGCTGTGTCACATTTCATCCTCGGGATGCATAAGTCACCCTGAGATGCTCAGTGACATTTAAAATCACTCTCACATAAACTCTGCTCCAAAACCCAGTGAGCTGCTTACAGTGTAAGGCAGCATCTATCATGGAACCATATAAATTACTGATTTTGAACACTGTATATAGGCAGAAGACTCAACTTGGTAGTGATTTCAATAAGCACGCAATACAATAATACATTTCATAGGTGGAAAATAATAGATTTTTAATTACACTGATTAAATGTCTTAGTATCGGTAAGTATACATTTATATATAATCTGTAATAATGTATATTTGCATAAGACAAACCACATAGGGTACCGTATATACTACTTCAGTGTTGTATTAAACACACAGCAGCAGCAGATCTACATGTCTGTCTCTGACATGATTTCCTGTCATCTACAGTCCAGCATCCAGATCCAAACCAGCCGAAGCCTGAGGGGGGTGAGATGAGACCCCTGAATGGGGAGCCGCTGGGGGTGGTCACTAACTGGCCTCCGTCATTACTGGCCTCTTTACAGCGCTGGGGCACCACACAACCTAAAAGCCCCTGCCTCACCGCACTGGACAACGCCGGCAAACCCATCTACACACTAACATATGGTACAGTGGAACCTCCCATTGAATTAAATGCAACAATTTACATGTATACTCCTGTTTCCTGAACTACACTACTTTGTAGTGCATATGTAATTGTTATTCATGTCTTGTTCAAAATTACATGTACTTATTTATCATCAGTGTTGGGGAGTAACTAGTAACATGTAACGGAATTACGTAATTTAATTACAAAATTTATGTAACTGTAATCTGTTATAGTTACTGAGAAAAAAAAGTGTAAATAAATTACAGTTACTTATGAAAATGTTAACAATTACACATACAGATTTGATTGATTTCTTTCCCAAATTGCATTGACTGCTGAAAAATATGAGACACCAATGTTTCAGGAGTTTAGGACAACGGATTGTTCTGGTTTTATGTAAATGCGCTTATTTTTTAAAGATTCGTCGTTTTTCCAAAGCATTGTAAGATGCCAGTGTTTCCTGTCATAGCTATGCAAAGATTCGATTTCAAAAACAGTATCATACTGTAGCTATTAAACTGTATCTTAAATCTGTAACCTCAGAACGACCCCACAGTAAAAAGAGGTGCTAAAGTCTGATTTTGTGGTGGCTGTGCTTTAAAATACAATTTTTATCATCTTAATTCAAGTGATGAAGCATTTTGAAAGTCTGACAGTAATCAGTGTTGAGTGCTACTGTTAGGTTAACCCTGCTTGCTTTAAATGTTTCAACATGATTAACAGTTGAAAACATTCATTAGAAATGTAGAAAAGTAATCAAAGAGTAATCAAATGTAATCAGTTACATTACTTTAAGTAATTGTAAAAGTTACACTACTTATTACATTTCAAATAGGGTAACTTGTAATCTGTAACCTGTTACATTTCCAAAGTAGCCTTTCCAAACCTTTCAAAAAAACAGATGCTCAGACCCTTCTCATCAAATACAAATATTCAAATCAAATATTAATTTATTTAAGACTGAATTATAACAGCTATGCTATCCACACTCAATTGTTTTTCTCTAAACTCTTTCTGTACGTCAACAGTTGTCTCATTTGTGTCTATTTTTATTTCTCGTAAGGAGTTTTAGCAGAACATCTGAGAAAGTTGATTCCTAACCAAGAAGTCCATTAACTCGCCTAAGTTATGAAAAAGCAATATCTGAGCGATAAAATGTTCCTTCAAGCCCATTAAAAATGATCTGCTTAACCATACTAAGATCATCTTAATGGAAAGTTATCCTAATGTTCTGAGGAATAGTTTCCTTCCTTGATCCCAAATGTCCCGCACACTGTCCCAGATGGCTGGGATTGTCATTTTAATCAAGACCTATCCATGGAAATTCCAAATGAGTTCCTTGGAAGAGTCACCCAGAGTTTTTTTTTTCTAGCCTCTTTTTATCTTCCACTCCGACTCTTTGCCTTTCGGCTATTGATTACAATCTTTAGCATGTGAGCAGTCACAGAAGGACTTACAATTCATCGTTTTGATTAGTAAAGGCATTCTCGTATGAAAGCAAGCATCGGGCATGCTGATATCCTGTCCCAGTCCAGATTTAGCTCAACAGCTCAAGGCAGGTCTCAGTGAGATTGCCTGCCCGGCATGCATAATGTATTGTATTGATTTGCTTATATTCCAGACAAAAAGGTCTCAGCTCAGCCCTTTAAGAGATCAGAGTAACTAATTGTGATTTGTGTCAGAGATTAAGGAAAATGCAGATGGCTCACCCTCGGTGGGCACTGAACAGATGTGCTGAGAGTTCATACGCCCTGATGGGTTGATCACTCATTCTGTTCTGTCTCTTTTTGCAGCCATTCATCTCTTTCTATCCTTCTCTCGTTCCTGCGTTCTCTCCTTATGTGTCATTACTTTGTTTATTATCTTCCTGTCCTGCTCTGTGCATTGTGTGTTGGCTTGACACTCATACCATCTGCATCTAACAGTTGGCTTCCAGTCTTTTC